ACGAAGAGGGAGGAAGAGAATGCTGATGATAACTCAGGTGATCGTAGTTAATTGATTGACAATAAATCTTTGAGAACATATAATAAAACAGAAATAAATGGATGGAATAAGCAATAAAAAGAACAAGGACTGGGTTAATGGGGAAGGGGAGAATAAAGGGGGGAATGAGTAAGGGAGACGGAAATGGGTAGATAGGTAAGGGAAGAAAAAATGGGGAAATGGGGAAACTGGAGAATTTGTAATAAATATATGATTGTATAAGAGCGAAATAGATGGATGAAATATAGGCAATTAAAGAACTGGGTTCCCTCTTTGCAAGGCTGGGCTAATGGGGGGAGGGTGGTGGTAATGGGTAATGGGAGGGAATGGGCAAAGAGGAGAATAAGGGGGTAAATAGATGAAGTAAGGAGAGAAGACTGGTTAAAAATAATAGAATATTTTGATTTTTTAAAGTTGTATTCGTGTTAGAAAAAATACATACATTTAATACATCTTTAAATTTAAGGTGATGCTTCGTATTGCAAAATACATACGTACATATAACAAATGCACACAGACAAACACACTCACAGGGACTAGCAAACGCGTACAAGCACACACAATGACAAATCACATCCTAACATACACAAACAAACACTCAAACAAAAAAATATTTACAAATTACTGACGCAAAAAACACCTGCTATTCTCACCATCAAAAATGCAGCACCGTTTTCTTTACAACCAACAATAACACGATATTCTCCAACAACACTCAGAACAAGACATTCCTAACAACGCCAACAAAACCTTCCCACACTCACCAACAACACCAACAAAAATCACCCACACTCGCCTACAAACACTACAAAGCCAGCCCCCCAAAACTACTCCAACACCCTTTACCACCAACCTGAAAAAACTACTCCAACACTCACCACCACCAACCAAAACACTCCAACACTCTAACACACACTACCAACCCCCTCCCCCCCAAAAAAAAAAAAAAAAAACTACTCCAACACTCACCACCACCAACCAAAACACTCCAACACCCACTACCAACCCCGCAAAAAACCCTACTCCAACACCCTTTACCACCAACCCGAAAAAACTACTCCAACACTCACCACCACCACCACCCAAAACACTCCAACACCCACTACCACCCCCCAAAAACCCTACTCCAACACTCACCACCATCAACCTAAATACTCCAACACTCACCACCACCACCAACCAAAACACTCCAACACCCACTACCCCCCTTCCGAAAAAACCCTACTCCACCACTCACCACCACCAACTAAAACACTCCAACACTCCAACACCCACTACCATCCCCCACCCCCTACCCCCCCCTCAAAAAAAAAAAAAAAAAAAAAAAAAAAAAAAAAAAAAAAACTCCAACACTCACCAACAACAGCCAGGTGTATGAGATGACTCATCGGCGGCGTGGTGGAGATCTGGCACTCGTACTTCCCCGCGTCTCGTTCCTGAAGGTAATGTATCTTCAGGAGCCAGTCTTCTGAGCCGACGGAGTGAAGGGCAGAGAACCGCTGGTCGGATGTGTAGGTGAATCTGCCCACCGTCAGGAGGTGGATGTCGCGGTGGCGTACCCAGGATACCTGCGGGAGAAGAGAGAGGTTGTTAGGGTTCGTATGGAGGAGGAGGAGGAGGAGGAGGAGGAGGAGGAGGAGGAGGAGGAGGAGGAGGAGGAGGAGGAGGAGGAGGAGGAGGAGGAGGAGGTGGTGGAGGAATGGGAGGAGAGGAAGAGGAGGAGAGTGAAGGGGAGAACAAGGACGAGGGAGAAGAATGGATGGTTGTTAGAGGAGGAGGAGGAGAAGGAGGAGGAAGAGGAGGAGGAGGAGAAAAAGAAGAAGAAGGAGGTAAAGAAGAACAGCTAGGAAGAGATATAGAAGATGAAATTAGAGCAGGAGGGTGGATGAGAGAAGACGAAGAGGAAGAAAATATGAAGCAGAAGAAAGAAAAGAAACAGAAGATAAACAGGAAGTCGGAGAACAGCAATACTAACAGAGATGGAGAGGGAATAAAAGAATGGGAGATAGTTATTTATTTGTTTGCTGGATCCTCGACGGCAAACAACAAAAAGAAAAACAACAGCAACAACAAAAACAAGAACAAAAATTATAACAACAAAAACAGAAACAACAAAAACTCAAAAACAACAAAAACAGAAACAACAAAAACTCAAAAACAACAAAAACAACAACAAAAAACAACAAAAACAACAACAGAAAAAACACAACAAAAACAAAAGCAAAAAACAAAAACAACAAAGGACCAAAAACAACAACACTAACAACAACAAACCCAAGAAAGGCTCTCTTGCGGCTCCGCTGGAGTGGCCATGACACATGCGAGATGGACTAAGAGGCTTTGTGAAGTCGAAAGAAAATAAGTAAGGAATAAAAAAAAGTAAAGAAAAATAAAGAAAAAGATAAAGAAAGATGATTATATGTTTTTTTTTCCCTCAAGACTTTATTTCTTTTTGGTCTGG